TCAACGCGTTCCGGACAACCAGTAAGATTGGAGGCCTTGCTTTGACCTATTGAGACGTGTTTCCGGGTGGCATAATGGTGTCCAGTGGCAGAGCCGAACTCAAGTGACGAGGCACCTTGAAGATGACCTGCACTAGTATGTCATGTTGTTGATACTGGATACGCTTTTGATGAAATACGAAGAAGGTCACATTGCCGGTCATCGGCTGAAAGTTGGGCCGCCTGTGAGAAGTAGAAATTGAGAAAGTGTTGCAGTGGACTGCATTCCAAGCAACGAAATGGGAACTGGCTTCATCTTTCTTCTTCCTAGCGGCTTCAAGAAGAAATCGTTGGGAGCATGGTCATTTTTAAAAGCATCTCATCTAAATGTCTCACCGTTAATGCTTCTGATGCTACGTTGTGATGTGGAACACCCATAGTGTCATCAGAAACTCTAATAGGTGCTAGTGAAGTCTCTGCAGCGCAGGGATATCAGTACTGCAGAGATACTGACTTCAAAACAATATGCAGATTAGGTATGAAGATCGGTGGAGTAGGTAAAGGGTTAGAATAAATGATTGCCTTGCTCGGAAGCATAAATATAACCGAGGAGGACAGAGGCTTATCCATATAGTGATAAACAACAGATTCTCGTTATGTGCGATAGAAATAAGAGGAAAAGAAATTTTTTTATAACCGATAGATCAGAAGAGTTTGTAATAGATGGTGATTGAAAGATGGGTAGCAACGAGTACTACAAAAAACAGAGATTCCTATTAGCATCACGTTGACTGTCATGGATAGGTCACCCCCAAAAAGGTTATTGTTTACAAGAAGTGCCTCATTTATCCGACTAGAACGACTGTGGAAATATGTGCTGTCATCTCAAAAACTTCCTAAGATCTTAAGAGGGACCATGAGAGGATATGTTACGGTCTCATGTAGATGAGTGGTAAGACAGATAGTTCTATGGTCTCGAAAGCGATAAACCTACTGAAAACCTAGATCTTTATTTCTCATGCAAAACGGTCCAGCAATTTAAAATGAAACGATGTTTACCCTACCTATCATTTACATTATTCTTGTTGGTTAGTGAGTACCACAACGTGATTGGCCTTCGATGAGGTTTACTTCTGCCGTGAATGCTAAATAAAACATTTTACATTGATAATTATGCCATCCTCCACGGGCTAGGTTCTTACTGATCAATGCATACTTGAAGGCTATCGGTCGTCATTAGTGGTTGATTTTACCCAACTGAAGAGTACTTTTGAAGCGTGAGATAATCACCAGGCGAATCGGTACCTTCAGTCGGTTGTTACGTATGATATACGTTCGGAGTTTACAGTACATCTTACGACGGAAACAAGGGTCATATTTTTCGGCGGCAATATCATTTAGAAGCATTGGTTCCGACTATCTCCTAAAGCGATTCACTCGAGTGATTAGATAGAAGTATCCGTTAGATTTCAGTAGGGGTCTTAAAATATCCATATGGGAGTGGTAGAAACCAGCATCTGGTGCGGAAAAAAGTGGACTTTCGTGTGGTTTTGGACTTTCAATGGTTTACTCATGATCCAGCCCGTTCTTCAACGTTTTAATTCATTCCAAACTGGCTACAGCGCTGTGAAGCAAGCTTGTCGTTAGCTGTTATACATGGATGAGATAGTTTGCAAAAAGTATTGAAGGCGTTGCATCGACATCTCTTGAGAACTACTGGGCGTGGGTGACTAGTTGTTGTCTCTGTCTCAAACTCCGTCTTTGCTGAGTCCCGTTAGGGGCGCTTGTGGTCTGAGTCGCAGATGAATACTAACGGTGCAGTGTAGGAACTTCTTTTCGAGGACAAACTGGCTCAAGAAGGTCAGTGAGTTTGACGTTGTTTATCAAAGAAAATGAAGACAGTATCCTAATCGCAGGATTATTTGGTCCGGATGTGGGGCGGACATCCGAAGTGAGCCGCGAAATGTAATTCGATTGTCGTGACTCATGCGGGAAGTTCTTACTTGATGCTGAAGCTGGAGATAATCTTGCACCGGGTGGTTTTTGGAAATTATGAAATTAATAACTACCGCTAAACTTCAAAGTTTGAACTCGGAACATTATATGGTTATTGGTTCCCCGTCAGACATGCTGTATGCTGTTTATTATTCCTGTATCAACCCAGAGAAAAGTGTCAGTAGCTGCTACCGGTTATCAACCTGCTGCCAGAAAATGTTTGCACTTCCAAGTCGTATACGTTAGCAGCAATACTCAAAAGACCAACGTGGTCGTGGCGCTCAGGCGTAGTTTCACCTGTTATTGCTTCCCTGACGTTAGCAAAGGAAAGTTTGGTAACGGTGTTGAGAGCCAGACGCTTTGTATTCTCGAGGGGCAGATCATTCGGTGGTCTCGTACAAGCATCACAGTGGGGGATAAACCAGATGTTCAGAAATACTGCGCTGCTTTACAGTTGTCCGTTCCGCTTAGCTCACAAAAGGGGAACCGTCCTATCTGTCCGCTGAAGGGTGCTTCTTTAATCGAAAGTATGCTCAAGGAAATCAGGCGGTGCGACTCTTATTCGATTTTTCCGAATGTTCACTGTGTGACTGCCTTTCATTCACCTGGATGCGAGGTTCAAATGTTTACGGTGATTTTCGTTATCCGGCCTGCAATGAGACAGTCTTCGAGATATATTTGTGCAAAACTCAGACCACTGAAGTTATAACCAGTGAAGTGTTGGAATGTTTGTGCTGCATTCCGAAGACCAAAAGGCATGCGTAGAAACCTGAGCAGTGTAGAAGATGTAATGACTGCTGTTTTTGAGACGTCTGCTCCCTTGTGTATCCAACTGTACTTTTCTTTTAGAACGAGCGCTCAGAATGGCTTCATCTCGCATATAGTATCCGTCAAGCCATAGATGTGTGGCGTCCGGTGGTTGTGAGACATTGTTTTTACCTTGAAGATTTGACTGCCACTGGCTGGGTGCCAGTTGCCGCAGTCCTTTTCGGGTTGCAGAAACAGTAGTGGAGTCTGAGTTCTGATCAACGGTTTATTGAAGTCGAGTTCAGCCACTCAATCAGCTTCATTTTCCATCGTCCGAAGCTATCACAGGCTAAATAGCGTGCTCCGGACACCATAATTTGGCCTAAGGTTGTGATGTTACGCGCAACGTTAACCGTCATGTGCGTTAAGATGCGCACGGTAAGGCACGCGTTTAAGCTGAATACAGTCTAAAAAAATTAACTCCAACAACTCTCACTTCGTACTGTTAACCTGCTGGAATCTTAGCTGTCCCTGCGTGTAAAGCTGGTATCTATCCCTCAGGATCATCCGCAACAAGAAATATATTTTATCTTGCTCGTAATGGATCCACATCCATGTTATTCGGGCTATCGCCGTCCGCCAGATTTAATTACTATGGTAACGAGCCATGAGGAAAGTACATAAACTGAATGGGCCTGTTGCGGTTGCCTTTGAACTTACCACCGGAACTTACAAATGTGGCATATCCACTTGACTCAAACGGCATGCCCTTTAAGATTTAAGCTGCAGCTTTTGCAGGTATTTCGTCTTCGTTTTAATTTAGTATATCCACTTTGATTCTGATGGTGTCCAGTCTCCCCACACAGTCAAACGAATGTCGCAGGGATTTTGATGATATGTCAAAGAAAATATTTGTTGTTGCTGTTTCTCATAGCATTCGCGACCTCAGGCTTTTAGACTCACATTCAAGATTCGGTGGACTGAAATATCGTTTCTTAAGCAATGGTTATATCCAAAAGTGTCAAGCTCAATCTACTTAGACTTATAAATCCCTCAGAGAATTACATCAACCTTATCTACACACTCCTAATTCTATTTCTGCTTACTTGCACGAAAAACTGAATCTCGAGGTCATGTGCTGCTGTCAGGTGAAGTTGAGTCAGCACACAAGACTTATAACCAGCTGAAAAGCTACATGCTTAGTTTGTTCCCAGGACGAAAGACGGGTTAAATGCTTGTTCATCAGATGTGGCTATGCAGATACTTGAACATTCAGCAGCTTCAATACTTTGAAGAGAACTTCCATATGAAGTGGAAATAGCTAGAATGGATAATAAACTACCCACACACGTGTCGCGGCTGCATGAATTTGTGACCTGCATTACAGAACAGAAGCTTTAGAAGGGAGCAGATGTGTACCAGATAGACAAGTGATGGGACTAAAGATGGACCGGGAGTTCGGCTGTACAGCTTCACCCTCTATAGTGTAGAACGTGGGTAACATTCTCATCCGGAAGAAAGCGTTTTTTGGCACCATGGCTTCAATCCTCAGTCTTCTTCCTGGTGCTTCGTTAATTTTAAGTCCGTCACTCACTGTTGTCAGAACTAAAACTGGACCAGATGGTGCCCCAGAAAAGATCACATAAATATGATCGATCGCACTCTTGGACGCTCTTATTTATCGAAGTCAGGTGAAACAGTAGTACGACACACTTTGCTGATGCTTTTTTTAGCTGTGGAAGTTAGGCTGTGTATCGTTTAGAAAACAGTGCGTCGAAATCTCTCAAGTACAATAGAACGTGACTGCCTAGCTGATACCTCATATAAGATTTTACATCTATATAAGCCTAACAGTCTGATTTTTCATTTAGGAAACGAAGATGAAAGAAGAACACAGATATGCCACAAATCCATCAACAAAACATGTTAACTTCGGACAAACGTATCACATGACTAAATATCTTTCAAGGTCCTGCGTTCATATCATTTTCAGTCGAACATAAACAGTGTGAAAAGAAGTTTAGCTGCGAAATTTCATCCTTATGCATATTATAAGAGCTGCAAACCTTTAGTTGTTTGAAACACAGATTCCCTGCTCATCTAAAGCTTTTCAAAGACACTTCAAGTATTGATGTTGCGAAAACGTACTTATTTAACTCATATATTACTTTATTTAGTGCAAAAAAAACAAAATCGTCTGGAGTTTCAACCCTTCACACTACTAAGGTTTTGTTTTAGTTTTTAACTTTGTAATCGTTATAACAACGGATTTGGTGAGCACTTTAATTTATCACCGTACGCTTGTATTTTGATTTGATTTTGTCTTTGGCTTAGTTTAATTGGATCCGGATGAAATTTTAGCCCAAGGTTTTGGTTGTTTTATATGGAAAGTAGTTTTTTTTGAGTTCAGAGCAGTGAGAATTCCCAGCTGTCAAATTACACCGGTAAGCATTTTCACAAAGAAATATGAGAAGCCACGTGAAAAGTTGCTTCAAAAACTCATAGCAAACTGCGAAGAAAAACTTCGAGTTTTCCTATTATTGCTTTGAGCTATGCCATGCATTTATTTGACGCCGTATTGTCGCCATATGTTTGCCTCGAGTTTTCAGTGTGATTTCTCACCCTGCAAAAATTTTCACTGCGTAGAACAATATCGCCTCATTTTGTCAGACAAAAATGCTCTCTGGGTGGTTTTTTTTGTTGGTTCATATTTTTAATGCTATTCTATAAAACCACTAATTTTGCATAACCGAGAATCTGGTCTCACTTTTTTCTCTAAGTTTTGATGCAGTTTTTCTTCATGTTCTTTGGTTTTGCCTTGCGAAACTTTTGACTGAAACGTCTGGTCCCAACTTTTAACAATTAGTCCATTGTGTGATTTGACATTTTCTAAGGTAGCCTTGCATCAAGTCATGTTTGCCTAGCGTTTGGTCTCATACCCGGCTCATAGCACAATACTGGGTGAGAACCTATCCTATTTGGGCCGATGAAGTATAGACTTAGTCAATTTCCCGGAAATGGGTTACAAATGGAAAAGTTTTTTAGAGAAATTGTGGGAAATGTGGGGCGAATTGTGGAATTCAGTGGTGTAGTGCAAACTTCCCTAAGCTTGGGGGAAAGCTCAGAACCATTTACTTCATAGCTTGCTGAAGTTTACTGGCTGAATACAAAAATTAATTTCGTTCACTGTGATAGGAGGTGATCCAACTTTACGCGATAAATTCCACTATTCATACTAGTAACTGCCTGTGTGACCAATTCAGAGGGTTAGTTGAAATGCAAGGATCACTAAAGGCCTCCAGACAGACAGAAATTGCATTAGGACTATTTTTTCTTAGTAGCTCCGTAGATTCTTCGTTAACCCAGTTTCAAATTCTTGAAGCGAAATAACCCACAGACAATGGGATCCTCAAAACCTAAATGTAGGAAAGTATGAAGAACTTCCTTACTCCGCGACAGAGAGACAGCAGACAAAAAACAGGCAGGCCCAAGATATAGAAGGAAGGATTTAAAAGCCATGAATTTTTTATACTTGCAAGAAGCTAGATATTAAAAAGGATATATACTTATCTTTGCAATTCGTGGTACGATAGAAGTTCAACGCTGCTTTGTAGGAATAAGCAAAAGGTATCGAAACTTTATGGTATGGTAAAAATTTTTATTGGTTCAATATAAAATGCTAGAAACAAATTATAATTGGTTTCTAATTGTTGCTGAAGGAATAGAGGAGGTCTGCGCTTAAGTATCTCCCGTGTCTAGAGACGATAAACTATTGGTCATTGTCTGAGAATCGAAGTGTAAAGCAGTGAATAAACAAGAAAGCAAGCTACTTACAATTTTGTGTTTAGGCTTTCGCTGACATCTCAGTTCAAAATCGAGTCTGTATTTGAAAAAAATTTGATGAGGTGGCCTGAGCAACCTTCACAAGGAAGGGGTTTTAGGTATTAAAAACTCTGAGTAAGTGGGAATGATACCTGATATCTGTTTTACTACTTTCAGGTTCTAATTTATGAATGCTTTCCCTAAGGCCAGTGTTAGAACCTAGCTAGTAAAAACAATTGATCAAATAACATGAACTGTTTGTAGCACTGTATGTCTTAATTTGGTGTCTCAGTCGTCTACATTCTAAGGGGCATGGAACAAATGCTTTTTATACTTCTCATACGCCCTGAACGTTTGTTCAAAAATGATTTAGATCAGCATCTTTGGATGCTTTCTGTAAGGTTCTTGTTCTTTTAAAGTGATGGAGGAAGGATCACAGGCTTTAAATTTTGATCAAAGAGAAGAAATCTAGACAACACATGAAGAGGCGAATCTTTAATGTGCACTGAAAACATGTGAAGCCCTAACACCGAAAACCTGAAAACCCCACTGTGGTCTTTCATTACGTTAGACATTGCAAAACTCACCTAGACCTTAGATAGGCAATCACACAAATACGATTACAAACAAGCGATCACGGCATATACGGATCCCTACTAACAATATTCTGTCAATGAGATAGTCATAAATGACACGAAGGCCATAAAATGTTTGAGGCTCATAATACCTATTCTACCTCGGTCATCAGTGATGCTAGTGCATCTATTTACTGAAATTAACAGATGAGTGGTATATACATATTATTTCTTTAAAATGTACTGCCGTGCAATGGCCAAGTAACTGGATAACTACCGTGAGTTAACCACTCAAATACTTAAGAACACGTGAAAAGAAATCGACGTGCCTCTGAGTCGTTGATTAGTTTGTACACCACACTTTTAGACTGGTGGGACATGGTCCGACTTCCAATATCTAAGCCATAAATCCTTATTAAGGAGCTGTGTGAATAGATTTTTATGAGGTGAAGCTAAAATTGAAGATCCTTCCTGAAAGACAGCATAAATTTTATGCGAACCACTAACGTACCTTTTTTGACAACAGCAGCCTGTGATATATCCACTTGATAATCCGATAAGCAGTTGACAGCCATGTTTTTCCTGCAAGACGGCCATCTGTATCCGTGGAAGTAGTAGATGTTAAGGCCCGTAAGTATTAGCTGGCTAAAAGTATTATCACTTTGATATCACTACAAACGAGACCGATGGGACCTGCCAGTTGGGAAGTTTCCACCTTTACTTGAAGAAAAGCTGTTGCATGACAGAAAAAGCATTTTACATTTGATGCGAACATAGTAGTGATTTGAGATTAGTATAGATGTTTATCATCTTTCTTACTACTGACAATCTTGCTGTGGTAGCCTGTTTTACAGAACACAGTAACCATCCTACTCAGCATCTGAATTGTTGCTTATGGACTTGGTTAGCTTCGGAAAAGAAGTGAGGCAGAGAGAGAAAGATGTTATTTAAAACATGGAATGCTAGTTAGATGTCTTTTATCAGTGATCAACAAAACAAAAGAAACAAATAAGTCGATTTCGTTCTGGTCAACGGTTTGGTGGGTCAAATCCAGTTGATGTGGAACAAGTCCTGAGGTGTATTAGTTAACGTATGCCAGATATGTTATACATGCAGAGCAATGACCTTCTTCAGAGTTGAGCCTAATGGAAGTCTGAAGTTTTTATCCTCCATACTTTGAAAGCATACTTTCATATAAGCTTCTTACTTGAAGCATCAGCTGTATTTTAAGTCAGGTCTAGTGCGTATTGGGTATTATTACTCTTAAACATTCTGATCAGTTGCTCCCCTACAGTATCCTGGAGTTTTAAGGTCATTCGTTATAGTGACTCTTGAGTCCTTGTCCTCAGAAATATTGAAGAGTGAGTAGCTAGTAGTTGAGGATTCATGCAGATTGTTATGATCACTGTGTATAGGTCTACTTTTATTTGTATTAATCTCCAATCACTAGGTACTAGATCATTCCAGTAAGGTATTTAGATCATATTGTTAGATTAACGTATCACTTATTCGATACATAGTTCTTCATTGCTAACCATAGCATGCAAACGTGAGACAATATAACTTGTTTTTCGAATGATATTTCATTGATATAACAGGAAGAATAGAAGGCTTAGAATATTACCCTGAATGACATCACTCTTCAGTAGAAACCACCAAAATAGGATTTGGTTAACGCTCAGTACCTGTCTTTTTTCTTTGAGAAAGTTCTTGGGCCAATTTCTCACTAGAAACTCTTAAGGCATCTTACCTCCATAAGATTCTTAATTCAAAAATCCCTTTAAAAGTTTTATTGTAAGTAAAGAATACCAAACCAACGGGAACGGTATTTTTTGGTGCTGTTGCACAATATTTTCTTGCATTGCGGAGAAATGCTTATTTTCCAAAAGTCTATTACTTTCTACATACTGTTGTAGTATAATTACAAATAGTTCTCTCCAAATTTCTGACAAGTTTACTGGTTAGAATTACTGAATGAAAGTTATAAATCTAACGCCCAACTTCACTTTACAAGATATAGCTGGTAATGGTGCTATTTTCATCATTCTGTGACTTTGACCAAGTAATATGTTTAATAAGCAACGAAAATGGTTCGGCGAAAAATTTCCGCCATTTCTAGAAGTAGACACAGAAGAAGGTCATTCTAAGCACCGGACGCACCAAATTCCAGTTTCTGAGGTGGTCTTCCGACAAATTCTTTCATGATGATCTTTGGTGCCATTCTGTAGTCAAACTCATTAACAATAACAAAAACTTCATCGCAGCCTTCATATAACATTCCCTCAAACTAATGACCTTGTTAACACCATATCCAGTCATTCTAATCCGTCAATTATTAGAAACTTGAGTTAGTATATAATCACCATTTCCGGTTATTCTCTTAAAGTAAGGGGAAAACATTTAAAGTAGCCTTAGGAATTCTTCTGGTTACTTTCTTGTATCCAGATCGTTGTCTTCCATGGAAATGAGTCCCTTTTCTTTCTTCACGTTTTTCTTATTTTTCTATAGATGATAATTCTGGGGACTTATTGTCCACAGACTGTAATTGTGACACTAGCTGAAGTCCATGAATGATGGTGGTTTGATGTTCTCTGAGCTTTGATATTTTGACGTGAACGTTTCATCACTAGGCTTAGTGACATCTTCAGGACTAGCTTCATGAGGAAGTCCACGAATTTCTACCTTTTCTCAACGAAATTGAACTCGTATTACTCGAAAATCAAACCAATACTAGCATAAGTGATAGTCAACGAATAAAATATGTGACACAGTTCACGGAAGTTCAGTGAATGTCGGTGTCAGCTGATTCGATAGAAGTTTTAAAGATTTATTTATGGGTTAGCTATTATGCAGTACCCATACATATATAGACTTAGTTACTATGGTCTTTTAAATCAGAGCTTCGGAGGGATTATATTTTGAACGGTTTGTGTACCAGACCACACCTGACTAAAATTTCGTAAGGAATTTCTGGACTATAATCTCACTTGACTATTCAACTAAAATGTTGAAAGCCTGTAATCAGTTGATATGAATTGAGTTTTACAGTTCTGAAGGTGCTTTGTTTGTCCTTGTCAATTTTCTCTTTTATAAGGCAAGGTGAACTAGATTTAAATTCCTTATGAAAAGCTCTCACTGCTGTTCATACATTACGTCTAATCATTCTAGCAATTCTAGAAGTTCCTCATTATTGCTAGAATCACCTTTGACGACACATATACCTCTGCTTTTCGACATTGTCGTGCAAGTGCAAGAAGAGACCTAAAAATGGTGCATCAGACATTGAATTTTACCTGTTCGGTTTTCTTATATGTTGAAAGATAGATAACAGTTGTTTCAGCTATCTTTGGCTCTGAAAACTTCCAGATAGACCCATGACTAAGTTTTATTCCATTTATCAGTTTTGTTGGGATCTCATGAGATAATAAACTTAGTGAATACAGCAAGTTCTGAGCTTATTGAACAAGAGTTGTAAATGAAATATATTTTGAAAAATCACAATGAAGTAGAAAAATAAATTTCTGACGTTTCGTGACTTTGTGAAAATCGCTCCTTCAGATTCTCTGAAGAAATTGTAGTGGAGTGAAATACCCCTAAGTAAAAAACCTAACGTTGTATTCATCAAAGGATCCGATAATTTACAGGTGCGCATTGTTATTAAATGTAAACGATACTTACAGTTTTACCCATGTTATCCAATACATCACAGCAGAAGGAAATATCTCCTTAACGTCCAACAGCTTAGTTAGTCACATAATGCATATGACTAGACTCATTTCGAACTAACATATATATATATATATATAAATATATATATATACATATATATATATATATATATATATATATATATATATATATATCTTCGCTGGTTTTTACATCCTCATCTGTGCCTGTGTCGTCTGTAGTTGAGGCGATGCTTTTCCTAACGTGCCAAGTCTGTCAACCATGTCATACAAGCACTGATTTGACTGGCATTAGTGTTGAAAATCCGGATATTGTTCACACTCTATGCTGAGTGGAGTGGAGTAGAGTAGACCTCCACACTGGTTTCAGATTAATGAAGGAAGGCCTGTCTTGCTGTCTTTCGGATGCTGGTTTTGACATCCTCATCTGTGCCTTTGCCGCCTGTAGTTGAGGCGATGCTGCATTGGCTGGTTAGGTGAGAGTGACTACTTTGTTTTGGTTTCTCCCATTGATGGTGATTGGTGCTTGTTGTTGTTGTTGATGGTGGTCGGGTATCTTCATCACCTCTGTCTTCTCTACGTTCACCTGAAGGAAGTTGCATCTTCGCTGCTGTGCCTCTTCTGTCAACTTGTTGGTTTTTGACTGTAGATCTTCTAGTTTTTGCGACAAGTCATTGGACATAAATCATCACCATGGGCGAAGTCCAAATGTTGTAGGATTATTTTCACCGGTCAAACGGCGTATGCCCCTCTTCTCGCTGCTCACATTTTGTTGCATGATCCAGTTGGGTCCAGTCGATCACAATGAGGAAGATGATGGGTGATAGTAGGCGGCAACCTTGTCCTACTGCTGTGTTCACTTCAAAGGCGTCAGTGAGTAGCATTCCATTGTGAGTCACTAGGCATGTAGCATGATATAGCATAGCATACAGGTGTTGAGTGAGGTTGTTAAAGACTAGTGACACTGAAACGGTAGTATTGAAGCAGCAGCTTGCCAAATTACTTCTCGGTCGACGCTATCGAAGGCCTTTTCAAAATCGATGAATTTGAGGTAGAGAGTTGACTTCCATTCTATGTTCTGTTCTATGATAACACGTAGAGTAGCGTTGCAGTTTCATCCGCACATGATTTGTTCTTTCTGAAGCCAGCTAGTCAGCTGGTTGCAGTCTTAGTTTTGAGTCTAGCTCACTTTTAAGTCTCTCCATTATGATGTGGCCTAATATTTTGTTTGGGGCGAACAGGAGTGGTGCATGAATCCATGACAGTTCTTGGAAAGATAGTTTTCCCTTCCTTGTGCGTCTGACCAGGTAGCTCGTCTTACAATCAATGGGCAGGTACCTTTGCTTCTTTGCAAACCATTTGCAATAGTGGTGTGAGCATATTGGCTGATGTCTCTTCGTCTGTTTTCAGTGCTTGTGGAGGAATTGCATGTGGTCCTTCTGCTTTTCCGGATTTCAGGAGATTTGTTGCGTGGCGTTCAGGCCTTTATCTTTTATCGGAGTGCTTGTGTTCACTAGTAGTTCTGTGGCTGGGCTGCTGGTGGTATTTCTGGAGGAGTTGCAGGTGTTGTTGGTGTTGGTCGATTCGAAAGCTTTTTGAAGTGGTCAACTCATCGTTCCCTTTGTATCTCCTCTTTGGTGGTAACTGGGTTTCCTTCACTAACTTTCATTGGTCTCATCTGTGTTGATCTCTTCCCTATCATATAGTGACGTGGTTGTTTGATAAAGTGTTGTCAGGTGTCTCCTACCTGCAGCCTATTCTGTTTCACTTGCAAGTGAGTCTTAGGAGTGTCTTTTGTCTTTCCACGCACTCTTCTTCACTTCTTTGTCCAGCGTGGTGTTCCATATGTTGTGTTCAGTTAGTCTTTTTGTTGTTCATCCCTGCACTGCACTGGTCCATCTTCCTCTCCGTGCTCTATCAGTTTCCATGTGTCCGTGGAGATCCATTCATTGTCTCGTCTCGTCTCGTTCATCTTGTTACTTCTTCCTTCCTAAGATGGTTATGCAGGTTTCCTTCGACATCTCTTCCGAAGAGTTCGAGTGTTGTCCCACGCAGTTTCCCACAGGGATGTTGCTTAGTATCTCCCATTTTGTCGTGATGACTGACTGACGTGAAGATGTCATTTGTAGCTTTGTCTTTCAGTTCGGTTTCTGTTCTGGGTGATGAACTTGAACTGTGGTCTATTATCACCAGGTTGTTTGAAGACTTCCAGTTTGATTTTGAATGTAGGTTCCTTCAACTGGATATTGAGTGGTGTGAACCTACATCTTCTCCCTTTCTTGATCTTGTGTCTGGCAGGTTGGCTGCATCTCTATTTTCATTGGATTGAGATGAATTCGATCTGAATTTTAGTGTAATGTGTCCATCTGGTGAAATCGAATCCATGTCGGTTTGTGAATATCCTTGTGTTTGTACACACTGTCATCACACAATCACCAAATCGTTGAATGCACAGAAGTGTGCAAACAGTTCTTCATTGTCGTTCATCATTTCGATGAGTGCCTCTCAACCCTTGATGGATGAGGTCTCTTCCTGTGTTGTTTGCTCCCAGTTTGGCATTCATGTCGTCGCACCCACTAGAATTGTGATATGACCAACTGGAGTGGAGTCTTGTCCATTAGTGATTGTAGTTGTCTATAGAATTCCTGCTTCTTCTCTTGATCTGTATTATTTGTAGGTGCATAGTGTAGGGTATCATTGTATGATTGTGACTTTCCTTCTCTTTGATTTGAATGTTGGTGTTATGATCCTGTGGGAGTAGGAGATTGGTTCTCACTGGATGAGAGAGAGCTTTGGATGGTGTTGGGGACATGATGCTAGCCAGTCGAAAAGTGCGTGTGCTCGTGGTTGTCCTCTGGGTTACAATGTCGGAGTAGATTATTGACTCTGCAGTTGACAGTTCGGTAAATGAAAACATCATCATTCGCAGTTTAATTGTAGGTCAACTTGCTAGTAGTTTCTGAAATATAATGATTATGATGTAGTTTTGCTGCTGAACATGCTTTGTTTCTGGCCCCTGTGAAGCACAGCAAAGCAAAATATGGCAGTTTTATCAGAGTATCTAAGTTTTTTTACTGTTCCTATCTCAGTGAGGGCTATTTTAATAACACTATTTGAATTTCTCGCATGCTCAAAAAATCAAATTTATGCGTTGTGAAATGAGAAGGAAACATTTGTTGTCTTTCTACTTTTCAGCTAGTTCAATATGCCACCAAAACAAAGTTCAAAAGTATAGTTCTATCCCATTTACCTTTTTTATCTAAAAATGTCATTAGAGTGAAACGGCATTGGTCAGGTCAATGAGTGAACTGCTTAAAGACTATGAGCATAGAGCTGATCATTATGAAACAACTGTTTGTAATTCAATTAAAAAGTCCTTCAGAAAAGCTTTAGAAGAAGACCGTCCTGTAACAAGAGTAAGCCACGTAATACGTATTCGTAACAATGAAAATAACAATGATATTGAAGTTTTTAGTTGATCCGCAAGATCGTCGACTAGTTGAATATTGGGATGACAACAAGTTGATTGATGCTCTTAAAGAAGATACTGACGATAGTATCTCTGTTAGGAAAAAGAAAGTTCGGAACAAACCATTAAAAGAAGATAAACCATTAGTTAAACTTTTACCACTGATTGAAGCCATACGTGCAAAACGGTATACATTGATAAAAGAACTATTTGTATGGGATTGTCATATTGAAAACGATGATATGATAGCACTAGTAAGTTACTATTGAGTACTGTGTTCCAGTTTCCTTATTCTTATACATTTTCTCAGCATGAATCACTTCGAAAATTAAAGTTTCGTACATGGACTGAGAGATGATAAAGGATATTCGTAGATCAAAATGAGGATAGAAATTGTTCGGTGTTCTATTTCTCTGATATTCAGTGGCTTTCATTTCATTACTAACTACATGCAGAAGTGATATCATGAAGCCAAGTGATTTGAGGTATCTGAGGTCCATTGGTGAAGCTTGAAGAACAGACGATTTCTGCACAGTGGGCTGCTTTCATTTCTATAAGAGATCTCCTTTAAACTGTAGTTCAATTCATTTCTGATTATGATTATTATTTGTCCTTTAAGTTCTTAGTGGAACATAGGGCTTCAGTCGCACGTCTCCATTGCACTCTCTTCTCTGCAGTCTTTCGAACCTGGCTCCACGACTGCTCACAAGCTTCCATTCCTTCCTCACATGATCTCCTCCATGTCACCCTCAGCTGGGACGCCCAACTGGTCATTTCCCATGCGGGTTCCACTCTATTGCCTGGCCTAGTGCGTGATGTCCCCGAATGGTCTTCTCAGTGTATGCCCAGTCCAATCCATCTCCACTTCCTTCTGCATATTTGTTGGGCGATAGGTTCTTGGTTGGTTCGTTGGCAGCCACAATGAGTTCCTTGTTGCTTATTCTTATTAGTCTGGCCATCTGATCTGCTCTTCAGTATTGAGTGAGTGTAGGCGGTAGCTGTTGATGAGTGTCTGTCGTTTGTTGGAAATACTTTTCGTAATGCGCCAAGACTGTCAACCATGTCATACAAGCACTGATTTGACTGGCATTAGTGTTGAAAATCCGGATATTGTTCACACTCTATGCTGAGTGGAGTGGAGTAGAGTAGACCTCCACACTGGTTTCAGATTAATGAAGGAAGGCCTGTCTTGCTGTCTTTCGGATGCTGGTTTTGACATCCTCATCTGTGCCTTTGCCGCCTGTAGTTGAGGCGATGCTGCATTGGCTGGTTAGGTGAGAGTGACTACTTTGTTTTGGTTTCTCCCATTGATGGTGATTGGTGCTTGTTGTTGTTGTTGTTGGTGGTGGTGGTGGTGGTGGTGGCATTGGTTGAGTATCATCATCACCTCTATTTTCGATTGGTGAGTTTTAATTCAGGATAAACTAATAGTTCAGTTTTTTTACATTTCAATTAGATGTTCGGTTAAAGCAAGACTGAAGTCAAAACTAATTTCGACCTATAGATATCTCAATACAACAACAATATCTGAACAGTGCACACTAAAAAAGGCATTATTACAACTAATAATTGCGATCGCTTTACGTAAATGCGTTACCGTAGGTTATCTCAACAAATGGTTAATTAATGACAACCTATGTACCCAATGTAGCGTTTACTTTTTCAACTTTTATGAATGTTGAAGAAAACGTAAATATTGTTAGACTTATTTAGATGAACTCTAATGGCTTTGTAAAGAGATGAACAAGCACGATGGGTGGAATTAGAACTATATTTACATGCATTAACTTCATATTTCTTGATATCTGCATTTTTCTGAACTAGTATAAGTAATTACCACAGGAATCATGGTACAGTAAGCGCATGTCATCTGTGCATAATATTAGTGGCCTTCAAATGTCCATTGAAAGTTTACCGTTTTCAATAGCTAGTGATGCAAACCAATTAGCTCTTTAGATTATTCTTAGAAAAAGGCTTCTAGACCTGATTGACTAAAACAGAGTCAAGAAATAATTTATAGTTTTGCTTTAACTTTCATTCAGTTTATATGCTTCAGAGTAGATTAGTTCTCCTATCTTTCCCAAGAGAGGTTCATTTAATTACCACCCTGTGTATCAAACTAACTACATTTTGTAGTGAAATACAACTTGCGTAGGATGAGTATTCCCAGTCTGCACTCAATTAACCACTTTCCTACTGCTGAAATTCAAGCTTTTAAAAAGCTAAATTTTCCCCGACTGTAGAAATGGTGGACTAAAAACTAAAGTAACTGATTGCTAATTTGATATAAGTAACCACTTTTTCCGTAAGAATTCTTCTGTGTGGTAGGACTTCGGTTGATAAACAATTTCATTATCGGTTTATTTGTTCAAACTAAGAATTCAGTTAGACATGTATGCATAAAGCTTTGAATTGTGAGAAATAGCAAAATATGAGTTAGTCCTTCCTTATTTTAGATGAAAGTTACTTTTAAAGTTATCTAAAACTCTTAGTTCGATTAGCTCAGTATTATTTAAATATTCGCTTTTAGCTTATGGCTATATGTACTTTAACTTACTGTTTGTTCCTCATTTTAATTCTCAGACTGGATTGTTCAATAAAGGATGTTATTTGCTAACACGTGTTGAGCTGATTGACTGCTTTTTAGATGCCAAAAGTATCGGTACATTGATGGCTAATATTGCAAGCTGCAAAACACTACGTGATTTGTGCTTGGATTTTAACGAGTAATTGCGGTAAAAGTATCTGAAGGATGTATTATTTTTAGTTGATTTATTTATTTTCTTAATAACTATTATATTTAACCTAATGTAATGTATGACTTTGTATTCAGTGTTAACATGAGCCAGTCGGCATTTTTATTATTATTATTATTATAATAACGGTTATAACCTTACATACGCTAAAATCAGAAATGCCCGGTAAAGCGATTCTGTGTTAAGACACAGATTTCATGGAAGGAAATTTTTTATTTCGTATAGTGTAATAAGAAAACAGAGTTTATCTCAGAAATTTGATGTATTCAGGTAATACATTTCGAACAATTTAACGACACATTTACTTGTCATTTTATATACAAAGTGAAGATGGAACGTGGTAAGGCGGATAAATTAAGATAATACAAGATATAAAAAACAGATGACTAGGAGGAATAACACATTTTTACACCACCCTAGGCATTAAAATGAAATAAAAATACCGTATAAGGTTTAAGGTAAGGGTGAATCGATTTTCAATATAAAAATGAAGTTGGAACTTCGTATACCTAAGGCTTCAAGAAATCTGAGTATACGCTGCTATGTTACGGTCTAAAAGGTGTTTTCGGATCAGTCCTATGAACATTTTCTACAATGTGTTCACATATGGACGATGATATCTGTCTATATTTCGTACTTACCAGATTGCAAATACTTATCTAGTACTTTAGGGATTTCCAGGTGGTATTCAACACGGATTGACACTAGTTGAAGAACTATCGAAAAACTGGGAGCACTGAACAGCCATTACATCCTAGTACTGTACTCTCCAGTACTGCGCACCTATGACCCAGCCACGGGTGAAACCTAGGACCTTCAGGTCTCTTGGTGAGCACATTACCTGAGGACCACTGGATTGCGATCCAGTGGTCCGTATTTTCCTACTTTTATCAATTCATGATACAGCGCAGTTATGCAATGGGGTCAGCAAGTATTTGCCCTCACACTAAAATTAGTCAAGCACACAAGTTACGAATTCTTTTCCGAAAAGAGTCATTAATTGGCGGTAGACAGTTATTCAGACTCATGATTCGTGATGTTTGACTGGTTTCGGGATGAGATTCATCATGGACCGACACCAGATAAGTGCATACTTGAAAGATCCCATATTAGGTTATATGGCTGCCTTGTGCTCCCATGTTTTCCATTGTTCTCCGGTTGGCATCATTTTGTGATGAATACCACCTTGAAACCAACCAATCACCACAAACCCTAAATATGAATTTGAGGCATGTTCCATCACCTTCAAATTCATATTTCAATTACTCCTGCCAAAGTATGTGTCAACACACACATATCGATTGGTATACACGAGATGTGACATGATTACCTATTTGGTGATGAGGCTTTTGTTGGAGCATGGGTTTTGTCTTCTGTAAAATGACAAATTCTTCTACCTGTTAAGTTCTTTTGACTACTGAATTAAGCGTCTGCCTTAAACATATACTGTATGATTTCCCTTTTGCAGAAGTTTGATGTATACTTTCTCGTTAGGGACAGAATACCGTTGAATCGTTTCTGCAATAATTGATGAACTTCAAAGGATATGCGGTATACAGCAATTTATTTGTTGCGAATTCGGTTCATTCTTCCACTGTATTTACTGCAGAGATACTTTGGATCTTTTTAGATAATCACCTTCACTGTACTGAGCAGAATTCGCTTAAGCATAAATAATGTCCAGTTTGATTGAGTTTTTCTGTGCACTGATCTTTGTATCAACCCATCTTCCCTTCTAGTTAGTAATGTGTCAAAAAAAGGGAGTTACCCTCATTTCTGTTGCACATGACTAACCCACGTGGCTTTTTACGGTGCCAATTCTCTCCAAAAGGCTTGCTGTATATTACTAATGTGTGATCAACCCATCTCTTGTACACAAAGACTTTATTGATTAAATCCCAAGCTTGAATTTCTACATGTGACAGGAAAACTATATCGATGCTATCAACTTGTTGAAAATATTCACCTTCAAAAATGAAATGAGGCTCATCGATGAATAATTGTAACAGATCTTTCAAATATGTTGGAGGCATAGAAAGGATTATTCAAAGATATATGATCACAAAGAATGCCATCAGTCTTGGCTGAATACATATTGGCTAATAAGAAGTTAAAATCCAAAGAATACATTGCCATGACTTTGATGTTGATGTGATTTAAGTAGTCAGTAATTTGAAAAGTATCTTTTAGTGGAAAATTACATAACTGTCTTCTGACTGCATTTGGCATTTGTGCTAAACGTATAGTCACTTTATGAACAGGAGAACAACACATTGATAGCATGAGGCATAATGGGATATTTGATTTGTGAATTTTGGGTAAACCATACCAGTTTGGATGTTCTTACCGCATGGATTTTAACGAATTATCTTTCTTTTTCCTAAATACTTTCATGTTAAGTAGCTTAACTAGATATGCAGTTACTTTCCTCTCTAATTTTCTAATGTCTTCTGTTGGACCATCCTCCGTGTATCTGTTTCATTCGCCTAGAATCAATTACTTTTTGTCTTTGTAGTCATGATTAGCTATAACAACTACACCAGGTTCGTTATTGGGTTTCAGAATGACAACGTAATTTATATTCTGTAGTCCTTTCAGTGTATTGAAATTATGATGATGATGTTTGTAACCAGAGCTATTGGCATCATCAGAGATATCGACAAATTAAGTTTATAACCAGCTTTGGTTTTCAGAATAAGTCAGAACAAGTGAAGTCAGCTGATCATAGTGATATTCAGACAAGTCATCAGTTGCCAAAATAGACGTTTTTGTATAAAGAGGCAGTAAAGTTAGGTCCAAGAGAGAAAGCGTCTTTTTTGATAACAGATGACTCAATAGATGATCGTAATAGGATTCACATGCGTGTCTTAGAATGAGTACTGTACACTTTCTCAACAGATTCTCTTTTGTTTTCGGTGACAGAATCACAAAAATTAATGAATTTAATATGAGTTTGGGTTAGGTCTCCGACACCACAGACGATGCATGAACATTAAGTTTCACTAACTTGTTCAACTTTCACTTCAGTTATCCATATGAGATTCAGAAACTTGAATAAATTTTAAAAAAATAGGCTGTAGTTTACAGGGGCACGTTGATTTTTAGAACTGCCGACGGGACGCTTGATTTGAAATACAAGACTTGAAGAGGTTCACTTTCACCGTTTCAGATATGATTTTTAACCTGAAGGTAAAAAGTTAATCTAACCTCCTAACAGTGTGATGTTAGTATTTTCTTCAGCAACCTGAAACAGTCAGTCTTTCGGGTAAGTTTTTGTGATATTATCAGAAGACTGAGTTTAACTGAGAAATCTGATGTAATTGGCAAATGCATTTCGACAATTTTCGAGTGTACACAACTGTATTTACACACAAGTTATGGTTATTATTATTATAATTATGTATCCTTGGGTTCCTCGTGAAACAAACGGCTTCAGTCGCACGTCTCCATTGCACTCTCTTCTCTGCAGTCTTTCGAACCTGGCTCCACGACTGCTCACAAGCTTCCATTCCTTCCTCACACGATCTCCTCCATGTCACCCTCAGCTGGGACGCCCAACTGGTCATTTCCCATGCGGGTTCCACTCTATTGCCTGGCCTAGTGCGTGATGTCCCCGAATGGTCTTCTCAGTGTATGCCCAGTCCAATCCATCTCCACTTCCGTCTGCATATTTGTTGGGCGATAGGTTCTTGGTTGGTTCGTTGGCAGCCACAATGAATTCCTTGTTGCTTATCCTTATTAATCTGGCCATCTGATCTGCTCTTCAGTATTGAGTGAGTGTAGGTGGTAGCTGTTGATGAGTGTCTGTCATTTGTTGGAAATACTTTTCGTAATGCGCCAAGACTGTCAACCATGTCATACAAGCACTGATTTGACTGGCATTAGTGTTGAAAATCCGGATATTGTTCACGCTTTATGCTGAGTGGAGTGGAGTGGAGTGGAGTAGAGTAGACCTCCACACTGGTTTCAAATTAATGAAGGAAGGCCTGTTTTGCTGTCTTTCGGATGCTGGTTTTGACATCCTCATCTGTGCCTTTGCCGCCTGTAGTTGAGGCGATGCTGCATTGGCTGGTTAGGTGAGAGTGACTACTTTGTTTTGGTTTCTCCCATTGATGGTGATTGGTGCTTGTTGTTGTTGTTGATGGTGGTCGGGTATCTTCATCACCTCTGTCTTCTCTACGTTCACCTGAAGGAAGTTGCATCTTCGCTGCTGTGCCTCTTCTGTCAACTTGTTGGTTTTTGACTGTAGATCTTCTAGTTTTTGCGACAAGTCATTGGACATAAATCATCACCATGGGCGAAGTCCAAATGTTGTAGGATTATTTTCACCGGTCAAACGGCGTATGCCCCTCTTCTCGCTGCTCACATTTTGTTGCATGATCCAGTTGGGTCCAGTCGATCACAATGAGGAAGATGATGGGTGATAGTAGGCGGCAACCTTGTCCTACTGCTGTCTTCACTTCAAGGGCGTCAGTGAGTAGCTTTCCATTGTGAATCACTAGGCATGTAGCATGATATAGCATAGCATACAGGTGTTGAGTGAGGTTGGTAAAGACTAGTGGCACTAAAGCCTTAGTGTTGAAGTAACTGGCATATAACTTCTCTGTCGACGCTATCGAAGGCCTTTTAAAAAGTCTATGAATTTGAGGTAGAGAGTTGACTTCCATTCTATGTTCTGTTCTGTGATGACACGTAGAGTAGCGTTGCAGTTTGATCCGCACATGTTTTGTTCTTCCTGAAGCCAGCTAGTCAGCCGGTTGCAGTCTTAGTTTTGAGTCTAGCTCACTTTTTAGTCTCTCCATTATGATGCGGCCTAATATTTTGTTTGGGGTGAACAGGAGTGGTGCATGAATCCACGCCAGTTCTTGCAAAGATAGGCTCCTCTTCCTTGTGCGTTTGACCAGGTAGCTCGTCTTACAATCAATGGACAGGTACCTTTGCTTCTTTGCAAACCATTTGCAATAGTGGTGTGAGCATATTGGCTGATGTCTCTTCGTCTGTTTTCAGTGCTTGTGGAGGAATTGCATGTGGTCCTTCTGCTTTTCCGGATTTCAGGAGATTTGTTGCGTGGCGTTCAGGACTTTATCTTTTATCGGAGTGCTTGTGTTCACTAGTAGTTCTGTGGCTGGGCTGCTGGTGGTATTTCTGGAGGAGTTGCAGGTGTTGTTGGTGTTGGTCGATTCGAAAGCTTTTTGAAGTGGTCAACTCATTGTTCCCTTTGTATCTCCTCTTTGGTGGTAACTGGGTTTCCTTCACTAACTTTCATTGGTCTTATCTGCGTTGATCTCTTCCCTATCATATAGTGACGTGGTTGTTTGATAAAGTGTTGTCAGGTGTCTCCTACCTGCAGCCTATTCTGTTTCACTTGCAAGTGAGTCTTAGGAGTGTCTTTTGTCTTTCCACGCACTCTTCTTCACTTCTTTGTCCAGCGTGGTGTTCCATATGTTGTGTTCAGTTAGTCTTTTTGTTGTTCATCCCTGCACTGCACTGGTCCATCTTCCTCTCCGTGCTCTATCAGTTTCCATGTGTCCGTGGAGATCCATTCATTGTCTCGTCTCGTCTCGTTCATCTTGTTACTTCTTCCTTCCTAAGATGGTTATGCAGGTTTCCTTCGACATCTCTTCCGAAGAGTTCGAGTGTTGTCCCACGCAGTTTCCCACAGGGATGTTGCTTAGTATCTCCCATTTTGTCGTGATGACTGACTGACGTGAAGATGTCATTTGTAGCTTTGTCTTTCAGTTCGGTTTCTGTTCTGGGTGATGAACTTGAACTGTGGTCTATCATCACCAGGTTGTTTGAAGACTTCCAGTTTGATTTTGAATGTAGGTTCCTTCAACTGGATATTGAGTGGTGTGAACCTACATCTTCTCTCCTTCTTGATCTTGTGTCCGGCAGGTTGGCTGCATCTCTACTTTCATTGGATTGAGATGAATTCGATCTGAATTTTAGTGTAATGTGTCCATCTGGTGAAATCGAATCCATGTCGGTTTGTTAATATCCTTGTGTTTGTACACACTGTCACCACACAATCACCAAATCGTTGAATGCACAGAAGTGTGCAAACAGTTCTTCATTGTCGTTCATCATTTCGATGAGTGCCTCTCAACCCTTGATGGATGAGGTCTCTTCCTGTGTTGTTTGCTCCCAGTTTGGCATTCATGTCGTCGCACCCACTAGAATTGTGATGTGACCAACTGGAGTGGAGTCTTGTCCATTAGTGATTGTAGTTGTCTATAGAATTCCTGCTTCTTCTCTTGATCTGTATTATTTGTAGGTGCATAGTGTAGGGTATCATTGTATGATTGTGACTTTCCTTCTCTTTGATTTGAATGTTGGTGTTATGATCCTGTGGGAGTAGGAGATTGGTTCTCACTGGATGAGAGAGAGCTTTGGATGGTGTTGGGGACATGATGCTAGCCAGTCGAAAAGTGAGTGTGCTCGTGGTTGTCATCTGGGTGGCAGTTTCGGAGTAGATTATTCTGTCTGCTGTTTGCAGTTTTGAGAGTCCACTTCCATTCCATCTGGTTCCGGAGATTCGTATCTTATCGCTTCTATGCTAGACCTTCTCATATCTTTAGCGGTCTTAGCAGCCTTTCCAGCTGACTCCAAAGATGGTGCAGACATTCCATGTCAGTATGTTTGCTTTTGCTTTTATCGAGAGTAGGGAAGACAAGTCGGCTAGTTTACTTCCCGAAGGTTTTCCCCAACAGGCGTCATTTGTGTCTCCGATTCCAGCGAGGAATATTTTTTTTTAATTTTAGTATTTTTGTGTGCTTTGAAGTTTCTTTGGCGATCAGACTGCTTTTCCTGGGTAGAGTTGCTAGTCGTATGCCCTACCGTCCCTCCTTATCCGGGTTTAGGACTGGACAGTAACTAGTGAACTTGTTAGCTAGGTGAGGTTACAAGTTGTAGTAGATAATAATAAATCTGAATGTTGATTAGCACTTTGTCCGCATGTTTCACATAACTGGCTCCTCTGTATTTTATTCTACGTAATTCCATCTTAATTCCTCGCATAACTTTTCACTTATGTTAGGCTCTCTCTTATGGTATTTAATGTGGATTTTATCGACATTTCTCTTTTCATACAATCTTCACCCAACTACTTTTAAATGGAAAATATTATGCTAACCCATAAAAACTTATTTCAAGATCCCAATAACTTTTAAAGTTTAGAAAATTAGCAAAAAATTGTTATCTATTTCAACTTATACCTGAATGCGAATGTAAAATTTTTGAAAGTAAAATGTTCGCGGAGATGAATTTTTCAAGTTTTTTGTCTCTGGAGGGATTATAAAATGGTTTTGTATTACTTGTCAGCTATATTGGGTAGACACTATCAAGCTTAGATTTAGAAATTTATGTTAGTAGATTGAATAATTTGGTAGAACTTTTGTTTTACTTGGGTTTGAATATTTGAAGGAAGTGCTAAACAGATTTGTTGTAACATATGCTATTATTTGACGAAATTGGGATTAAATGTGGTGTACAGTGTGCCAAGAATAGGTTTTAAGAAGATGAGGCATCCATTTTATGAAGCCATCTGTATGCGAGTATTAGCAGACTACTTTTGGAGTTCGTGTCATGAGGTGAATTGACGATCAAAAGCTATTCTTCAGCACCTTAAATTTTTACCCGGACAGGCAGATTTATTCGTCCTATCTCATTTTAAAATTTAACCATAACTTCACTAGTCACTGGAGGGTAATCAGTTTAAAGTTTTTAAGTCCTTAGTACTAACCAAACTATATTACTTATATCTTATTCATCATGCTAGGAGAATCAGCATCACCAAGAACATTGATTGATGTCAAATTATTGGAGACAACTGGTAGGAAACCCTTAAACCTAATTTACGTGCTTTTTGGCACTTATCATCAAGACATATCTGAAAAGTTAAGTGAACTTATTTCATCTAAAAGTTCTAAAGACCACCCCCCTCCCTCCAGTACTGAAGTCTGAGACTATCACTGAGCTATTTGAGACGTGATAGACCTCTTGTAAGAATGAATTATGTACAATAATCGGTCACTGAAGATCAACCATTTTCATGTCGTTTAGTCTTAATTGCTGAGCGAATACTTCCAAATAGCTCAGTAGTTAGTTCTTTGATTATACCATTGTGTGACGCGGGTTTCAGTGTTTGAAGGGTCACAATTTCTCTTGAGGCTGTAGGTGCGCCTTGTTGATAAGTCCCAACAAGCACGAAACCTAGGTCCGAAATTTTCTGGCGATTGCCTCCAACCATGTCACAAAGTTTCAACATATTTCTGTCATTATTCTTATTTTTCACTGTTCTACTTTTAGTTAAAAACGTTATTAATTTTTCCTTGAACCCTTAGAATAACAGTCGTGTTGAATTGAAAAGGTTTACGTCTTCGTCTAAGTCATATATGTTATTAACGGAACAGCTGATGATGTTGACGTTATTACAGTCAGCTGTGATAATTAGTAGATTTCAGGTTGTGAATCTCTGAATATTCCAACTGTTAGTTGGATGTGACTGCATGTTAGTGTGGTAACGTTTCCACTAGTACTCGGATGAAGCGACTATCCACTACAAACGCAAAATGAGGTTGAGTTCGAGTCCCGGTGGGAGCACCACCACAACGAGATATCAGTACATCCTCCTTATGACCTTCAAACAGAGGGAAACGTGCCTACTGGATTCCTCTTCTATCCATGACTAACTTAAATAACATCAGTGAAACATCATGACATACATTTAAAGATGCTGTTCACTAAAAGAGACAACTGTTAAGTAGAATGTAGAAAAATCAGTAAAACGTTATTATTACTGGCCCGTTTAGCTTTCTGTCAATTTTTTCTGGTGCTGATGCAGACATATCTTAAAGCTATACAATGCTGGTTAGGGATTCAAGACTTTCACTTTATTGCAGCTTATGTACATCTAGAATATGGGTCAAAATTATACTCTTTATTATGGAATGAGAACGAAACCGACATTTGAATTTTATTAAAACTGCTTTAAAAGATGGATAGATATTTTACTTTTGAAGTTTTATGCCTCTTGGAGCTCTTAAACGATATCAACGATAACTTCAAGTTGATCATTTTGAGATTTTATGGTATGCCTTTAAGTGTTAGGACCAAAGAATTTACTACAGCAGTAATCGAACATTGGTTAACTCTTTGCTGATATAGATTTTTTAAGTATCAATCGGTCAACAATTTTTTACCCGTATCCTACTTCACTTTTAGGACCTAATTAATCTTTTTCAGGTAGTAAACGGATTTAAGATGTATTTTGAGATTGCATTATGTGGTGAAAAAATATATTTCACTGTTGCACAACTACCAAATCCATCCATACAATAAGAAACATATCCACTTTTCACTTATCTAAGGTCATGAAACAATACGAAAAGGTATTCACGGTATTTCTGAAATAACTGTAGTTTTTCCGATCTACTGTATTTATGGGATGTATTGTGTCAAATTTGACTTTCTTACTTTCAGTAAGACCAACTGATGACACTACTCACCTTACGAAACTTTTCATCATATTTAAAGTTGTCAAAGTAGACATGTTTTACGCATATTTAAGAACTTTTATATCTCAGACAACAATTTATCAGTATCAAGATACTTAAATAATGGTAGGTCCCTTAAGAACTGGCTCCCGCCATTTTAAGTGAAGGAATTTTGTTATTTCACCAACGTAAGTTGGGATGAAAAAAATGTGACGTTATAAAAGGAAAAATCATCTCAAAATATCATCATTATCAGAATTTACAACAATGAAAATTTTTTATGTATTGAACTTAAACCTAACCAACACTTTAGTAAAGTCTGTGCATATTATAATCTGGTCTATTTTACATTTTTTAAAACGGTTGAATTTTATTTTGGAAAGCTAGTAATCGTTTTGTAACAGCTGTTATTGTTTTTCTTTGCTTATACATTCAGTCTTGGTGAACAAGGTTGTCGTGCATTATGCAATGGATTAGCTAAAAGTTGTTATCTTATTCACCTAAGCTTAAGCTTTTGTGGACTTACAAAACAATGTGGTTTATGGCTTGGAAATTTAGTTGCAGAAACTGCCATCAGGTGAGTTTGGATTGCTAAATAAATTGACAAAAATAAATAATATAGACTGGTATTTTGTTTCAACCTTTTCTTAAACAGCGACTGTATTCGCTCTGTAGTTTAGGAGAGTATTTTTTGCACACAACTTCTTAGAGCATATAGATATATATATATATAATTAAGAAATTGGGTTTATAAAAATCGGGTTGCATAGATGAGATACTGAGTCTATTACTGCAAGTTCATATCAGAAAGCCATGTGTTAAAAAATGACACACCATCTTGTTTTAGTCACAATGCAGAGCAATGTATTGGTTTTCGAAACACAATTCCGGATTTCAATAATTCTATTTCTGTTTAGAAATAAAATTAGGATGGCTCAGTTTCTTTAAATTCTATTCATATGACAATAGTTTTTAATGAAAAGTGAAAGTTTAATACATGTGTATAAAGAGTATACTTTGGAGAGTTTCTTTATTCTGATAGAAGTGCATCGGACTTTTGCATTGATGCTCAAATCAGTTATCATGAGGAAAACAAAGTTATCTTGTTTTTTTGTCATTACATCCAAAAATAGTGCATATTATATTCAAATTACGATAAGAACATGATTATCTGGAGATATTTCAATTATATAACGGTTTATTATGTATTTGTTCCAACTGATAAGCTATAGAAAAAACTAAGGGATAGAATATGATAAAAGATTCAATACGATGAGTAATTAGTATATACTATGCATCACATGGTTGTTGAACAGAATCCTTCAAAGTTAAACAATAGGAAGAGTTATTTTTAAAATGAACATTTTCAGTACCAACATTAAATAAGTGCAGCTAAGTGAAGCTCTAATAGAACATATTTAATAGTTCTTAATAACACAGATAAAAATCCTTACATTATGAAATTATGTCATAAACTTATTTGATTGAATCATAGACATCAAAATCCGACTATGAAAGTAAATGGGTCACAAAAACCGCATATGACACTAAGAACCCATAAATTTTCATATTAGTTTATTGGATTCGCTATTTTAGAATGCTGATAAATGCCTTAACTTATCGCCAACTTCAGGAATTGTTATTCTTACGACAAGTAAAACGGTTAGAAAAGCAGAATTATGGGAATTCAAACATTTTGATAGGATTCGTCATGTGAACTTTGAAATTCCATATGATGGTTGAAGGTGAAATGAAAATTTGGAAGCCCGGTGGTCGCTGGTGTGAATCCGGCCGCGGTCCAAATTTTTATTACACTTTCAAACATCATCCAGTATTAATATTTATTCCCAAAGTCTGGGTGGTCAATACCCCTGCAAATCGTTGTACTTTTCTACCAGTCTGTTTACTTATAACATTAACACTCATAGATGTCAATATTGTTATCATAGTCTAGCAGATAGTACGTGGTTGGACTTCTTGCGACGCTATCGTCTCAAATATTAACTATTTACTACAATGGGAAGTCTATCACCAGGTATTAACACAGGATCTGGCATAACTCTGCAGCAGCCCAAGCTGCCTTAACCTAAATTAGCACATTAAAATGTAAAGAAGCATAACCAGAGTCGAAGAAATAAAGTGGTAGAAAGTCATAAAATATTTTAAAAAAACATTGCTTGAATACATCTGCGTCACTGATAATTATTTTCAGTCAATACCACCGACAGTCTCCAACCATCATTTTTAATTGTCGTGTATACGCCAACCTGGAAGTGTATGTTTCTCTAGCCTGCTCCGACCAACAGCCAGAGATTTTATGAAATGGTCCCTATATCCAGTTTTTTTATCCTTCGTTTTTATTCTGCGTAGCTCTAATTCAACCAGCGTAGCTTGATGGCGTGGATGGTGATTAGGCATGCGTAGCGCCTAAGTCGGTGTAGGTTTACACGCTCATCAACTCATCTCTTTTACATTAGACTCTATGCCTTTAATCGATACTGCTGATTCGGTTTTGCTTCTACAAAGAGACGAGTCAATAAACATATCACAATAAAATAACTTGTCATAATAAATATTCAGGCAATACTAAGGTATCCTTATAAGAGCCTTTATGTCAGTAGAGGTCGTACAACTCAGTCCAGCAAAACAATGGAGAATTACGAGCGTACCAACAAAAAAAATAACCAGTATCTATTGGACAAGTGGTGGCTATCGTGCCCCATTGGCCTAACGGATAATGCTGTGGCGGATGAAGCGATGGGTACGAGGTTTGAATCTAAATGGCAACAGCTTCACTCATTAAGGTGCAAGTACATCCGGCCGACGAGTCCCAAATAGGACGAAATGCGCATCCTGCATCCTTCTGCTAGTCACAGCCAAGTAAATACAACTTTGGTATGCCTATGATTATTTTTAATTGTTTAAGAATTTTTCATCTTTTCATAATTTTTACCTATTTTTACTTTTGTCAATAGTCTTTCGAAAGTGATAATGGATTGTTGTCTCCTCTGTCATTTGTGTATTCGAATTTTGAGATTAGATGTAACTTATCATGTGGCGAGTCCTATAGAAATTTATGAATTCATCAAGTTGTCTTTCCCAAGTTTCTGCTTTCTGTAAAATCTTTTTTTATGGTATTTTAAGTCCTCATCAGTATGACTAGAAGTAAAATGTGTTGCATTTAAATTATGACTGATAAACTAAGTTCTTTAAAATGTAAGTTAAATGACATTTTGTCGAATTTATCAAGGGAACTTATTTTAGATGGCAATAATCTGGAAGCTGAAGGTACAATAGCTCTTCTCAGTCTACTGTCTGATGCTGCAGACAGAGAAGGATTTGAACGCAATGAAGCGATAGGAAAAAAACAATTATTTCAAGAAGAATCGAAAAAAAGAAGTAAGGAAGCGTTCTGGCATTAGATTATATCTTTATAGATCATTTAACAACTAAAGATATTTCTTTTTGATTGCATAGAAAAGTACTGAAAAATTATTTAAAACTGATAAAAGCTTTCTCACAGAAGTTCATTAAAAGCAACACAATAAATACAAATTAACTTTTATCTTAGTCTTTCAGCAACACATGATGTTTCAGTCAATGACTGCTCTAGTGGTTAACACAACAGCTTTTCAGTCACTGGTGAGGACTTATTAGCTGCCAAATAACCTTCATACTTTTTTCCGTTAACATTAGTCCGCCTGGTATATAATTTCAAGTCATTTTATTATAGACACTTTTGTATTCAAACGATGGCTTTATTACGTTAATTTTATAAGATTTAAGTTATTATCGGAAATATTCACGAGGTTGGTTAACTATCAGTTGGTTCCTTTGATACTCAGTCTGGTATCTTTGATTTCACTGAGGCTACATCACGAAAGTAATCAGCTTAAACTTCACTTCATTCACCTATTCCTGTGTATATTTAGCTAGACATCATTCTAGTTTTAACGCATACTCACTATTTAGATGCAAAAGCAACACCAGCTTCATTTTTAAAACATGCTAAAAGAAGTATGATTCTAAGAAAAACCAGTTTAATTACTAATATAGCATAAAAAGATAGTATTCACTTAAACAAATCGCTGCGTAGAACTGGGAAAAAATGAAAAAAAGTTGGTCTAAGAAGAATGGACTAATTTCAAGCTAGTTCTCATAATTGACATCAGCTAGAGAACCTTGAGAGCTTAATACCATCGGTTAAATGATTTGTTCGTTTTTGCAATTTCTTGGTATTGTTCGTTTATGACCTGATTAGGGGTCGAGCCCTAGTTCACCATATCTCGTACCAATCATGCTGCATAAGTTCAGCCGATGCGTTTGAATCTAGTGATCTACACTTGTCCATTTTCATCAATTCATATTATAGAACGATCACCACTTATTTTTACTGGTGAGTATATGTTCTACCATCCGATTTAGTTGAATACGTAGGTCATGGTACTTACTGCAAAGAAATTCTAAGCTGGGATGAAACGATAATATCTCGTTTTCAGTGAACTTTATATGGAAATAAGAGTCTTATCCCTATATTTCCCTAACTATTTATCTGTGATCCTAATCACAATATAAAAAAAGTCTTACATCGATTATACTAGCAAGTATGATATAATGGCCATAGTTCATCGGTCAAAGAACTTGACCTAAAATTTGGGGGTCCTTCTTTTGAACTCCATTTCATTTATGTTCGGGCAGCAAGGTAATATCATTAGCCTTCAAACAATAAGTGTGGCTTATCGCTTCCTGCAGGAACATGAGTATAGTTCTCTAGTCAATTCAGATTTCAGTCTTCCTTGCATCATTTTATTTATTTATTTCCCTGATCTCAGGAAAAATTTAAAAAAAAATTTTCTAACGAAATATACGACTGGACGACTTCAGTACTTAAAAACCACTCACACTGATCTGTAGGTTTCATCAGTTACATTAGAGTAATCTAGTCACTGGATGTCAGCTTCACTCGTTTGAACCTACGTTCATCAGTGGTGTACGTGGACAAACTCAACTCAAAGAGCCGAATTATTCGGATCACCTGAATTCGGCTAGCTGACTTGGATGGACCGGTATATTCTAAATAGAACGAAACATTTGCAAATGATTTGCAAACTGCACCGTCCATGTTAACATTTACGGCTGAATAGTTTTTCTGTTTCCCAACTATGACGCTAGCAGGGTTTCCTTCGGAAACGAACAAAACGGTCATCTGATGTTTAGATCATTCTGATCTGGCTGGCGAAATTACACATCAGCCTAGGAGGTTTCTAACTTCTCAAGTTGCTCGGTTGTATATTTAATTACTTCATGACTTTTGTGTCATAGATCACACCTTGTGATTTTGATTAGGTGGTATCTAATGGAAACCCCACTGACACCAGTGTTGGGTGGTTGGAAAACTTCTCAGCTGCCAGATTTATCAACGGAAACCGTGCAATTTGTAAATCATTTACAAGGTGATCATCTTATTTGTTGTCGTAACTATCTTGTATATTGGAAATATTTTTATGACAAGCTTTATAACTTATTATTCTGTGGCTTGAAAAGCCAGTGTAAGGACTTCGAGCAATTGTAATGAATGCTGAAGAACTTGTATGAAATGTAGATCATTTTCCATGCGTTTATCCAAACATTTTGAAGTTGACAGAAAATGTTCTACGTTCTCCTCGGTTTCCCACCGAATGTTTGTGGTAAAACTGTGAATTTGATGGGAGAAGACTGTGATTCATTATTACACTAGGTCTCCTGGAAAACATTAGCATTTCAAATAGTTTGTAATTCAGTATGTGTGTGTGCATGTGACAGATTAAGTAAACATCAATATAGTAAGGTACATACCTAGTTGACATGACCTGAAAATAATTGAATGACGTTATAAGTAAGCTTGAGAAATAATGTTGTAGCCTTCGTTATCATTAATTTTTTTTTAAACTGGTTCAGAAATTCCTTTAGAGGCGTTTGACTTCATAAACTCGATGTTGAACAAGCTCTCAAGAGAACACGGAAGCGAATAAGTAAGGTACAACATCAAGTTGAATAAAAAACAATTTCTAGTCAGAAAAAGAAAAGAGAGTTGAGATTTCATCTTAAATTTTATCGTTTTGACTAACCATCGGAAACTGCTTTATTTCTATCACATACAGACTTACACTTCACTTGCCAAGAAACCCTTTATCACTAATAGAATTCTGTTATGAAATATAAGTCTTTTAGTTAAGAGCGCAACTTTAATTTAAACCTACTAATCACGTAGATTCACCGTGAAAACATTTTTGAATGAGAAAGCATTTATTTCAAAGGAAATTAACATGAATACTTATGATTAAGCATACTGACCGTTTAGTAGTACAATTTTATTAAAAATTGGTACACTTAATTATGGATGGTGACAGATCCGTGATTTATCGTCTTGAAGAACTTGTAGGAAGCACTAACGTGTTATGAATGTTCAGGATAAAAAGCAGTGCTTCTTTTATTCATTAAAAAATAGTCTTACAGAATGATAGATTCTTTGATTGAGATACGTATATTTCGCTGGTGACTAATGTATTAAACAGTGACCCAAGTGGATCTGTTATACTTTATTTCATCTAAGAGATCTTGTTTTTAAATCTTAGTTACTGTTGACCGTATACTACCATATCAAAGAGTTCAACTTTCCGTAAGTTTATAGGATTATGTGAAATCCTTTGAGTTTGATTCTGTTGAGAAATTCTATAATATTGTGGGAGTTTGAAACACTGTTAATTCAGTGAATAAATACTTCAAATGAATTGAACAACTAAAAACAAAACTGAAAAGTAAATTTAAAAAATGAATTTTGAAAAACGCTGTTTGAGCCTCATTTATTTCAAAGTATTGAGATAAAGAATATCTTAAAAAGTCAGACAGTAAGAAATATAATAATTGATTTGGGAACAGCTTTCTCTTTTACATGGCAGAAATTGAAAGAGTGATACTAAGTGAGAGGAAGTAAATAGTACAGAAGTTTTAGTTTTCGATTCCTTTTAAGTGCACAGCCTTTATAAATGGTAGGAATAGAGGTAGGTTATTATCTATTGAATAGATTAATATGCGTTTTTCGCACTACTGAAGTATAACGGATGATTTAAGCATCTGATCTAACCAATATGTGGCAATCAATAGTCATTTTTAGATGACATTTATTTCAATCACAGCATACTGTTTAAAAATAAATAAAAATAAATAACTTAGATTTAGTTGTAAATGTCTACTGAATCATGAGGTTAACCATGTTCCTTTTTATCCTTTTTGTATATTCTCTTGTGGACAGATCGAGTAAATTTGGATGCCTTACCTCCATTGAACGAGGGGTTGGATGATGATACTGAACTGGCGCTTCAACCTCCGCCACCGTTGTCACCATTATCAAGTAAGACGAACTCTGCCAAAAAATCTAAGAAGAAGAAGTCCTCTAAAGGTTAGTTTTTCTGTTTGGTTCGTTATCAAGTAATAAAGTTTGTTCACGTACTAGCCCATTTCGACAACTGAGCTTTTATTTATCTTTGTATATATATATATATATATATATATATATATATATATATATATAATAAAATACATTTTTAGCTTATAAACAAGCAAAACGTTTTCAATCAATTCTGATTTGTCATTAATTTCCATTCAGTCATTGCTACAGACCAACTTGAGTTGGAAGACAAAACTAGCCACAAAATTGACACTCAAACTTTCACTATCTGTGCTTGAAACGCTTCAATAGTCTTCATTTACATTTCGCTTCATCGCGAAAATAAAGAAATCAAGATCTAATTATGAATAGCGGCTTGAAGTGGAATCTAGGAAGCGCATTTCGTCCTATTTGGGATTTATCAGCAGCATTCAGTTACTATCTAGTGACTGTTGTTGTTAAGAATACTGACCAAAGCATCAAATCAAAACGTATTGTTCAATTTAGTTCCTTTTGTGACTTCTACCAGCTGCTCCAATATGTGAGTTGCACATCATTAGATTTTGTGTCAACAATCTCCTCAACTTTGCAAAAATGACTATATCGTAGTGTAAATTCTAATTTACTCTTTACTAATGCAAGTCTATTATTTTGGTGTTTATATTATTATGTTGTGTGCCATTCTGAAGAGTGTGTACATATTAAAAGTTGAGCATCATACTTACTATGGAATTTTTGCATATTCATCTCCATTCAGGTTGTTTAACACGCAAAGATTGTCTATGCTAAATGTTTCTTCTTTTCAAAATTAAGAATTCTACTATCCTTTACTATCTTATATAATAATATAATCTTTTATTTTGAATAAGTATTCTCTTTTTGGTTTGTAAACAGTTATGTGACATATTATGAATAGTCAAGGGTATGTACCATCACTATACAATTATCTTAATTTGATGAGTTTTATTGTTTGCTAACATTATTTATTAGAAGAAAAAGATATTACCTGTACAATAAGTGAAGATGAGTTAGTAATTTTTGAATGTCCAAGGGTTTGCGAAGAAAGTTTCTTCATTCAAAGTTAACTTATAAGATGTGAATAAAACAGCGTACAAAAATAACTAGGAAAAAGTGTAGGTGAGCATATTTCTAGGTGGGATAATTCTGTTTGTAAGCCAAGCTTCAAGTATGAGATTCCATCGTATGAACAGTCTTTGAATACATACCGAAAACAAATGGCAAATTATTATATTGTTTCCAGCTTTTTTCGAAGAAACAGATTCGAAAGCAAATGTTTCTTTTAATTTAGTTGGAAATGGATGAAGAAATGAACATTTCGTCTAACAGATCACACAGAAAGATTAAACACCTTCATTGGAAGAGTATTCAATAAAAAAAATGAAAAAAACTATATCTAAGTCACATTCAAATTGGTTTATGTTATTTAGAAGGCGAATGAGCTTCAGAAAGGAAGTCATAAATCACTTTCGCAACAGTTTTTCTAGGCAACACACCACATTTAGTCTTACTGTAGACGTATATATATATATATATATATATATATATATATATATATATAAGTGTTTTACAGCATACTGTAATCTGTTTTATTGGATTTCTTCATAGTACCTGATATACTTGATAACGTGTCACATTAGAATATTTTGTGTGTGTACACCTTTGAATTTCGGTCATATTTAACCGTGAAACGTCTTACGAGCTGTTTTGGGCAATGGAAATTTGACTTTGTCGTTCTAAGCACCAACTGTGTACACCTCACAATCGAATTATCTCGAATTATCTTAATATATGAGGCATTTAGCAACGGGTGAAGAGTAATAAGTTTATAGGCTTTAACTCAACTAGGTAGAAGCATAGTATTTACCAGTAGTATAATTCAAGTGAAACTACTCCTTAGACCAGACAAGCTTAGTAATATGTTCGACCGTATTTTGTTAGTGTTAATTCAAGTTACTAAAGTAAGCTTTTTGCTGAGAAAAGTATCATCTCAGGCGTATGTCATGTCATCACACTCCTGATCTCTTCACTAGTAATGTCTTAAACATTTTGTGTTTTATAGTAACAGTAAGACGAGGTTGGTGTTCGTTGGTGGTAAAAACATGTAACATATTTGACATCTGCTTCTGGATAAGAGACAATATTCGTGAACTAAAGATTTCATGCTCTGATAATAATGGAAGTTGTAAACTGTTAAACTGTGACTGTGTGATGCATTAGAGGGTTTCTGTATACTGAGCGTTAGATGATAAACAAATATTTCAACTGAAAGTACTGTGTAGGTTTTCTGGGGCTGCCTAAGCTTAGGATAATGTTTAACTGGGTACAATATCAGCTGAAGAGATAAAATCGTTTATACAAGCATAAGGCTGACTTCCCTTGAAATTAAAAATATATCGTTTCCTCACTTACTATGTTTTCTGGATATATGTGAACTTTCTTTTTCGGAATTTTAGTGGTGTAGTACTCTGTCATTAGTTAGCTGATAATCGGATGCGGACGACATTTTTCCTGAAAGTTAGATCAGGGTATGAGGGAAACAATGGAAGAATGATTGGCTGAGTTAAACCATTGCAAAAAGATTAGTTTATATTCAGTGAGAATACTTTAGACACCACTCAGATACTGATTAGCTTGAGATACCCTTTAAAACCGTTTGCAAACCAATATAACTAAAGTAATCCAAGGCTTAAACCAGCATATTTAGTTCAAGAGACAAGGCTTTATCTGTCCATTTAGAAAATCTGTCACTAATTTTGATGAAGTTATGCTTATACAGGATGAAAAAGATATACGACCTAATTTTTTTTATGCTAACATAGAACTATGTTGTTGTGCAGATGGTCATTTGTTTGTTTGTTGCTTTTCTGATGCATTCAGTGTATTTAAGGTTGAGCTGATGAGTAACACACGCTTATTCAGAGTAACGTCATTAAATTTCCATTTTAAACATTATTCTCTTTGTTATAAGTGGAACCTAGGAGTAAAAGTTTTGTACCATTTGTGATTTCTTTTCTTTTCAAGTGGGGAAACGTGGTAAAAAAGGTAAAAATAAATTTTCACTTCCTGCAGTTGGTCCGCAGATTTCTGTACTTAAATTAGCTGATAATGGAATTAATCATTATGGTCGAGGTGGAAATTTCGCTACAGTTAGATGTATGCAATTATTAAAAAGGTTAGTGTATCTTAGGTTCGATTAAAGTCAAACCATTTTTGAGATTTTAAATATTTTGTAGAATGCACGATGGGAAAGCATATTTCAGTTCACACTTCAGTCATCAAAATTATATAAATGCTAAGCTGCTGAACTATATAGTTGTTAATGAATGCATTTCTACCTGTAATGTGAATCCAAAATTGTAGAAATAAGAATTTTCAAGATCCTATGATTAGTAATGTTGGTTATGTATATGTATATATTGACTAGAATGATAATTTAGGTTGGACTGCAAATTAAATTAATATAAAAAATGAATAAGCATGACAAATGCAGACAGTGCATGGGAAGAAGAAATAACTACAGAGCTTGGAGTTTTAGAATGCTATTGATAAGCAAAAATGATATAAATTATATATAGTAGCAGAATTGATGTGGCATTTACTTTGTAACGTGGTCAGTACATTAAAACGCTTATAGTATAATGAAGGCATCATCACATTGATGTGTTTTGAAAAATCTACGAGATTTTATGGGTCCTGAATGGTACAGAGGGAAAGTCATTAAATTCTCTTAAAAACATCAGAAGTTTCTACTAGTTATGAAATGAACAAGGAAATATCATTTTTCAGCATGCACAAAGTGTTAAAGCTTATATCATTTCCAGTCATACTTTTTTTTACCATAGGTGGCAGCAAGGTCGCGCGAAAACACGAATTTCCTTAAAATGCATTCGATATGTTAGACGCGTCTTCTTAGTGCCACGTTATGCCAGTCATTATATTGAATCCATGTCTTAGAAATTTAAAGGTGGTTAACGTAAGTAAATAAAAGAAATGGAAGTAGGTGAAAGTGAGAGAAAACCTAAAAGCAAATATAATGATAATGAAAATAGTTCAAACTACTTCTGCGAATTTCGATGAAATGACTAATATTCCAATACATCTCTTTTAAATGATCAATCAGTCTTTGCTTGGTCAACTTTAATTAACGAACCCAAGCAATAGTGAATAGGATACTGGACTTTATTTTTCAAATGTGGCAGTAATGCCACAGAGTTTCATTGTAAAAATTTTATCAAAATGACTTTTTCGATTTGTGACAAACTCCAATGACTGGCGCAAGTAGGTATAGAGTGGTCATGTGTTACTTGGATCGAGGCCTTTGACAAGAAACTCTGGACCTAGATTTTGTGTTTGTTGGCACTCATCAGCAAGGCATATCTGCATTCCTAAGGGGAATGATGTCTCGCCTGAGACTCGAACCCACGTCACCCAGTGTTGTAGTCAACAGCGTTACCCCCGAGCTATTCCGGCCACGACTGACCACCTGTAGGACTGGATTAGATACATTGATTGACCACTGGAGGGTAACCAACTTGATGTTGTCTGGTGATGTCGATGTGCGATGATCTCTAGGCTAACTGAAGTGATTTAAACAGTAGTCGGTAATATCGCTTATTCAGAGTCATGCTCACCTGCAATGTAAGCAGTTCGATTGGGCTAAAAGAGTTCAATCACTCAAGCTATCTAATCTCTGTCCAGATACTTTAGCTTTCTGGTAATACATGGAATCAAAAAACTTTTTGCTATAAAGCAGCTAGTGACTATAGATAAAAATAGCATCCAAATATAGAATATTGACACCGTTTATTATGTCGAGCAGATCATATGTTTTGGTTAGATCACACAGTTTGGTCCCACTTAGTTGTATGACATTCTCATTTCAAACCGTGTAGTTAGCAGATGCGTGATTTAATCAAATTGCAGCTGACATGTACACTGCGTTTTGCTTATCCATTTCTTTTGTTATTTCTCAGTATAATTTCACATAGTAAAGATTTACAAGAGATTGATTTGTTCTCTAATGACATTGGTGATCTTGCTGCAAGACAAATTTTAGAAGGAATATTATTTCGGAAAGACGCTAAACTGCCACAAATCGGTGTACGATTGGGTCACCGTATTAATCAAGATACATTTGATATGGTGCATAAATTAGCACCTGGTCCAAAGAAGAGAAAACGTAAAGGAAAGAAGGGAAAATGAACAATTATTCGGTGAAAAATATTCATGAAATGAGGCATTACAACAACTACTTGGGTGAAGATTGTGGACAGATACATTTAAATTCACATAATTTTCAAAAGTTATGCATATAAATAACATGCCGTTGATGTTATTATACACGTTTTTGAGTGAGCATATAAAAAAGGTTGGTTCTAATGTACAGCATTCCAAATACTACAAAACATAACACATTTATTTTCCGATTTCCAACTACTGAAGATTTCTTTATGGATGACTCTTAAAAATTATTTTCACTGGACAAAACATAAATTGATCATTATTATTAATATTTGTCCTCTGGGTTCCTAGTGCAGCATAGAAATTCACTTTCACGTCGCCATTTCACTCTCTTCTCTGCAGTCTTTCGAACCTGGCTCCACGACTGCTCACAAGCTTCCATTCCTTCCTCACACGATCTCCTCCATGTCACCCTCAGCTGGGACGCCCAACTGGTCATTTCCCATGCGGGTTCCACTCTATTGCCTGGCCTAGTGCGTGATGTCCCCGAATGGTCTTCTCAGTGTATGCCCAGTCCAATCCATCTCCACTTCCTTCTGCATATTTGTTGGGCGATAGGTTCTTGGTTGGTTCGTTGGCAGCCACAATGAGTTCCTTGTTGCTTATTCTTATTAATCTGGCCATCTGATTTGCTCTTCAGTATCGAGTGAGTGTAGGCGGTAGCTGTTGATGAGTGTCTGTCGTTTGTTGGAAATGCTTTTCGTAATGCGCCAAGACTGTCAACCATGTCATACAAGCACTGATTTGACTGGCATTAGTGTTGAAAATCCGGATATTGTTCACGATTTATGCTGAGTGGAGTGGAGCAGATCTCCACACTGGTTTCAGAATAATGAAGGAAGGCCTGTTTTGCTGTCTTTCCGATGCTGGTTTTGACATCCTCATCTGGTTAGGTGAGAGTGACTACTTTGTTTGGGTTTCTCCCATTGATTGTGATTGGTGCTTGTTGTTGTTGCTGTTGATGGTGGTCGAGTATCTTCATCACCTCTGTCTTCTCTACGTTCACCTGAAGGAAGTTGCATCTTCGCTGCTGTGCCTCTTCTGTCAACTTGTTGGTTTTTGACTGTAGATCTTCTAGTTTTTGCGACAAGTCATTGGACATAAATCATCACCATGGGCGAAGTCCAAATGTTGTAGGATTATTTTCACCGGTCAAACGGCGTATGCCCCTCTTCTCGCTGCTCACATTTTGTTGCATGATCCAGTTGGGTCCAGTCGATCACAATGAGGAAGATGATGGGTGATAGTAGGCGGCAACCTTGTCCTACTGCTGTCTTCACTTCAAGGGCGTCAGTGAGTAGCTTTCCATTGTGAACCACTAGGCATGTAGCATGATATAGCATAGCATATAGGTGTTGAGTGAGGTTGGTAAAGACTAGTGGCACTAAAGCCTTAGTGTTGAAGTAACTGGCACATAACTTCTCTGTCGACGCTATCGAAGGCCTTTTAAAAAGTCGATGAATTTGAGGTAGAGAGTTGACTTCCATTCTATGTTCTGTTATGTGATGACACGTAGCGTAGCATTGCAATTTGATCTGCACATGATTTGTTTTTTCCTGAATCCAGAGCATATTTTAGTCTCTCCAGTACGATGTGGCCTAATATTTGCTTGGGGTGGACGGGGAGTGGAGCATGAATTCACGCCAGTTCTTGGAAAGACAGGTTTCCCTTCCTTGTGCGTTTGACCAGGTAGCCCGTCTTACAATCAATGGACAAGTACCTTTCCTTCTTTGCAAACCATTTGCAATAGTGGTGTGAGCATATTGGCTGATGTCTCTTCATCTGTTTTCAGTGCTTGTGGAGGAGTTGCATGTGGTCCTTCTGCTTTTCCGGATTTCAGCAGATTTGTTGCGTGGCGTTCAGGCCTTTATCTTTTATCGGAGTGCTTGTGTTCACTAGTAGTTCTGTGGCTGGGCTGGTGGTGGTATTTCTGGAGGAGTTGCAGGTGTTGTTGGTGTTGGTCGATTCGAAAGCTTTTTGAAGTGGTCAACTCATCGTTCCCTTTGTATCTCCTCTTTGGTGGTAACTGGGTTTCCTTCACTATCTTTCATTGGTTTCGTCTGCGTTGATCTCTTCCCTATCATATGGTGACCAGGTTGTTTGATAAAGTGTTGTCAGGTCTCTCCTACCTGCGTCTCCATTTTCTTCTCATTGAGATGAAGTTGATTCGATATTTAGTGTGGTGTGTCCATGTGGTGAACTCGAATCCATGTCGGTTTGTGAATATCCTTGTTTTTGTATATACTGTCTCCAATCACCAAGTCGTTGAATGCACGAAGGCCTGCAAACAGTTCTCCATTCTTGTTCATTTCATTCAGTGCCTCTCAACCCATGATGGATGAGTTCTCTTCCTGTGTTGTTTGCTCCCAGTTTGGCATTCATGTCGTCGCACCCACTAGAATTGTGATATGACCAACTGGAGTGGAGTCTTGTCCATTAGTGATTGTAGTTGTCTATAGAATTCCTCCTTCTTCTCTTGATCTGTATTATTTGTAGGTGCATAGCGTAGGGTATCATTGTATGATTGTGACTTTCCTTCTCTTTGATTTGAATGTTGGTGTTATGATCCTGTGGGAGTAGGAGATTGGTTCTCACTGGATGAGAGAGAGCTTTGGATGGTGTTGGGGACATGATGCTAGCCAGTCGAAAAGTGAGTGTGCTCGTGGTTGTCATCTGGGTGGCAGTTTCGGAGTAGATTATTCTGTCTGCTGTTTACAGTTTTGAGAGTCCACTTCGATTCTATTTGGTTCCGCAGATTTGTATCTTATCGCTTCTATGCTGGACCTTCTCATATCTTTAGCGGTCTTAGCAGCCTTTCCAGCAGGCTTCAAAGATGGTGCAGACATTCCATGTCTGTATGTTTGCTTTTGCTTTTATCGAGGGTAGGTAAGACAAGTCGGCCAGTTTGCTTCCCGAAGGCTATCATAAACCGGCGTCATTTGTCTCTCCGATTCCAGAGAGGAATTATTATTTTTTTATTTTTAGTATTTTCTTCGTGTTTTGAAGTTTCTTTAGAGGTTGGATTGGTTTTCCTGGGTAGAGTTGTTAGTCGTATGCCCAACCGTCCCTCCTTATCCGGGCTTGGGATTGGTCGGAACTAGGGCACTAGTAAACCACAAGAGTATATATATATATATAGGTACTCGCTGTTTGAATATCAGGAGTTAGATTTTTTTGTTTGTGTGCGGTGCGTCACTTCGATTAAGGTTCGAACTATCCTCAGCTCGTAGTGGGTAAGCTTCCGATACTATTTGGTCGCGTGGTCTGAAATGCGTAGAATAAGGTTTGGAATTGTATCCCAGCTCGAATGTCTAGTGCCTATTTCAGTGAGCCATATCCTTATCTGTTGTAAATCACGTAGCTGTGGTCAAACATTTCGTCCTAGTTTGTACTTCTAAAACAGTGCACATCCACCACTTAATGTTCGAAGGTATAAGGTCTTCCGCTGACAACGATGCTAGTCACCTTGTTTCCTGGTGTCTTCACTGCAGTTTATATGTATTTGAATATGCATGATATACACGAAAAAACGGTTTCTCAAGTCAACCACCTTCACTGTAGGTTTTCTGGCAGTATCAGCTTACACATAATTTATGAATCAACATTAACAGTGAAGGCTTCAAAGCGCTCACTGAACTTTCTTGCAAGAAACAGGATTTGCTTCGTCCCGAGCTTTCTACCAAGCTGTTCAGTTCGTTTTCATATCATCGTCATTTTTACATCTGAACTACATTCTCTTTTCGTCAAACTTTTCAAATTTATCCTAATGCATATTTTTGTTCCCCTCAGCCGTTCGTCACTGGCTAGAATTCTAGTGTGTCTGTCACGTCATCAGTTGCTAAACAGCTGTTTTCGTAAAGCAGTCTTCCAGTGCGATATCTAACACAAGTATTCTGAAAGCATGCACATCACTCAGGCTGGCTACCTTCAACGTTCAGACTTTGATGGAAATCAGATAACAGACAGGTATGGTTAAGACTCTGGGCAACTTTGCTGTTATTGTTTGCTGTATGTTGACGACCCGCATATAGGTTCGCAGTGGACTGCCTCGAATAACTTCCTTATCTACCAACCCGCGAAGTGTATTTGCAATGCGCTGATCCGGAGACCCTGGGGACTCTGGCAACCAGCCTTACTGATGTTGATGTCTCTGCAACTGTTTTACAAATTTCCATCATGTAAATTAGATAAGACATATGAGCGGAAAATATTGTTTTCAATTAGATCCTCTTCAGGCTTTACTCTAATACAAATAGCTTGACATATATAAAATTAAACCAATCATGTAGATTTGTCGTTTCATGTAATAAATATTTTAAATTAACGATGGTGATAGTAATACAAATAATAATAATGATAAGGGTGATAACGTTAACTAAAGCACTTGCAATATAGGTGGTAGTGATGGTAAGAACCAAGAAAGCAGCATGAAAATGTAGATACTGCGATAATCAAAGTCGGTCAAAAGCTTGAGAAAATAAAAGTTACATAGTACTGAAGGACGAGGCAAGTGGATAAACAAAGTCTAAACAAATACAGTATATGAGAGGGGTGAAGAATAAGAGAGGGGTAGGAAAAAATTCAATGATATAGTTATTAACTAGATACTCCTTGGTTAAGAGAGAGATAAGGGGTGTACTAATTTCTTCGTTATCGACAAATCTATATCATTGGTCTCAGCAAGTATCAGAAATGGAGCTGCACCGGTCACCTGGATTTTAATCAACGGTTGCACACATGCTGCTAGGCTAGAAAGTTCGATAAAGGTGATAAGTAGCTGTCAAAGGAGACGATATCTCTTTATCATCTTTGCCCATACCCTGACTACAACCTGGATTAAGTTAAGGATGAGTTTTACTGTCAGCCGAGTGACCTCGACTAGATGCGCTTGACAGGTGTTATAGTTCTAGTGGGGGACTTGAATGCTTAGGTCAGGCATCTAGGCCAAGATAAGGGTCGTGTAGGTGGCTAATGGGGTTTAGTCGGTTGCAGGTCAGATAACAGAGAACCTTTTGTGCATCAGAACTTGTTTCTAGCCATGATCAGCTTATGGCACAGCCATTTTCGTGATGTTATCAGGCATCTTCCCCCTGCCATTCATGCACAGACTCAAATAAATCATATTGCAATCAGGTCATGGATGCACTAATCACATGTTCACCCTCTGTGAGATATTGGAACACCTTCACAAATATCGCAGGTCAATGGTCGTTGTATTCCTAGGTATTACGGCTGCTTTGGATTTGT